GGGAAATTTCTGGGGAAAAAGGGGGGTTTCTGGCAAAAAAAGCCGCAAGTGTAGACATAGCCCAAGAGTCTCTGCCCCGGGTCAGTGCCGCCCCAGGGTTCAAAAGTTCACCTGGCAGGATTTTACCCTCCTAAACTGGAGGGGGCGGGGATTGATACACCTTATGTGGTCCGCCGATGGCTCTGCCTCTCCATAGGGTTCTGCTGCCGTCGTCAACGCGAGTCACTCCGCCCATTCCACCTGGTGTCAAGTGAGCCGCCTCAGCTGTCCCATTAATTGTCCGGCTCCACCAGCTGTCTCAGTCCACGCCCCCTGGCCGCTAGCTAGTTGCTCCTGCAGCTGCTCCACTGGCATTTGTCGACCTCCCCGTTATGCCTCGTGGGATGAGGTTTACCGGGGAGGTCGACAAATACCTTTGATGTCAACCGCGGAGCGTCCAGACTACAGTGCTGTGCCGCCAAACAGCTGATCGGCACAGCGCAGAAGCCATTTTAATTTAAATGAAGCAGTGATTACTTAAATCGTCGCTTCATTTCTCTTTGCCAAGTAAACAAATCTACAGGGCTCCATCGATGGAGCCATGTAGTCTAGACGTGCCCTTTGAGTCCTGTTTTAAGTCTTGTTTTAATTCCTGTGTCCCTCTTTGAGCTCTGCAAACATTGCTATCATTGCTTCATCTTGGTTCAACCGAAGTTCTAGCTCCCCATTGCTCTCCTTGCAAACTGGATCCCAATACTTGGAGCATCAATGTTCCTCTTTTCTGACCCCAGCAGCTATCAAATTTTTGGGGCCTTGGTGATATTCCAGTTGAAGTAGTAGAAATTGATCAGGTGTGGTATTTTCTTTCATGTCATTTTATTTACAACAACCTTATAAAGTCCCATGACACTGCATGCAGAAGGCATCAAAGAGCAGGAACCAGCTTCTTTTTTTTGTTCACAGCACCAGATCTCTTTTCAGCATGCTTACCTCACATAATAGCCTCTCCTCAGTTACTTCCAGGTTCAGTCTCTATGCTTTCAGCTGCTCCTTTTGGCTCTGCTGTCTTTCTTTGTCTTTCCCAGTTTTTCTGTTCTGCCTTCCTCCCTACACACACAATTATCAAAACAATACTCAGAGAGAAGATCAGGGAAGGTTCACATGCTCCTTTTGTGTTAGGTGGGGATTTTAACTCAAACCAAACAAAGTTCTATCCAGTTCTTAACAATATTTCTTCAAAAGTAGACTACTCACAAGATTTCACAGAATTTTAACTATGTGGGAAGTCTGAAAAATCTGCAATTAAATTGCCATTGTCTGGAACAGAGAAAAGGTTGAACAGTGGGTGCTAAATTTGTCAAAGAGCTCAATGTCAGTTAACTTTAGCTTGTAAAATAACTACTGGGTATACAGGCAGTCCCCGACTTACGTCGGATCCCTAGATACGAACGGGGTGAGGCAACTCCCGCACATGCGCAGCAGCATTCCCGGGGCTCGCTCACCTGGGTCCTAGGATCCTCCTCCTCCTCGGGCCGGCTCCGACTGGGGTCCCGCAGAGCTGCTGGGCAGAGGAAAAGTGCCTCCCCACGCCCTCTGATCAAATTCAGTCAGTAATGGAGATGGGGATTGTAGCAAGTGGTCGCTTTCCTTTCAGGAGAGTTCGCAGCAGCAGTGCCTCTTGAAGGAGAGTGTCCTGCAGCTGGAATCTAACTAGGAGTGCTCATAAAGACTGTACGGGGACGTGTATCCTGGGGGTTACAAGAGAGGTTTTTGAAAGAGCTCAGGTGATTTAGATGCACAAGTTCCATCACGAAATCCGCTGTCTGAAAATCCCACTCCACATCGTAGGTCGCTCGTCTCCCTATATGTAAAGTTGGACTGATGCACACTTTCAGACCTTGTCTTTTCACAATCTGATTATTAATAGAAATGGTAATTTCAGTGGAAAGGGCTATTGTTTCTCCTAGTGTCCGCAGCTTAGGTATTGAACTTCTGCATGAGAAGCAGAAGCTGATACTGTTTGGAAACAAAAGTAAAAGTGACTAATCTGTTCTCATTGTCAAAGCTGAATGAAAAGTGAAACAATCAAGTACAGGCAGTCCCTGGGTTACATGGATCCGACTTACAAACAGGGTGAGGCAACCCCGCACTAGCTGCTTCCCCCCAGCAGACCAGGGAGACACAAAGCTAGCGCCCCCCCCTCCCCCAGCAGACCAGGGAGACGCGGAGCGGCTTTTCTCAGCAGACACCTCAGCTTGAGAATAAAGGACTGAGGGAAGTGAGGTGTGGGAGAATAAAACTGAGCTCTAGAGAAATGTTTGGCTAGAGTTTCCCCTACAATATGTACCAGTTCCGACTTACATACAGATTCAACTTAAGAACAAACCTACAGTCCCTATCTTGTACGTAACCCGGGGACTGCCTGTACTTGTAAATTCTCAGAAAACTTATTCTGTTCCCAAATAGTAATTGTTGTAAATTTGGGGAGAATTGCTTTAACTGCAAAATTCATCTCAATCTTTACTATGGAACCTCACCTGATGCCTGCTTATTACCAGCAAGTCCAGTAGATATTGTTTGTGAGCTTACAGCCTTCTCAGCAGCACTTAGCAGTAGAAGAGAGATACAGTAACAAGAGGTGTGGCAGCAAGAAATCCTAGAACCATAGAAGTGTAGAACGGGAAGGGGCCTCAATGGGTAATCTAGTCTAGGCATCTGGGGGATGTAAAGCGTTGGTAGTTACAGCACTGCTCACGGAGCGCAGCAGCAAAAATGCTATTGGATGTCCACACTGTTGGCTGCCAGCACAGTAGTGTGACCACACTTGTGGCACTTGCAGCACTTTTTAGAGTGGTGCAGCTATCCCACCAAGCACCTCTTCCTCTTCTATTGCAGAGATTTGTGGGGAGTAGCAGGGTATTCTGGGTCCTGTCCCAATGCCCCATAGTGCATTGCATTGCATCCCAGCAACTCCTGTGCTTCTGTCCACATTTGACACCATGCAGTACTGGATTCCCAGCTGTTGATGAAAATGCTGATAGGTCTCACTAGCTTGTCATGCATGGCAATCAAGTTATTCCTGGAGCTGCAAAGTGACGATGAAGAGTCCATGCAGTATTCGTATAACACGAGATTTCTTGTGGCATTCACAGAAGTGCTGACCACAATAGAACACTGCGGCTGTGTTGAGACAGCTTCCCTTTTTTGTAAAAGGGATGCAAATTAGACATATCGTAATTGCTAACGAAGCGGGGATTTAAATCTCCCCCGCTTCATTAGCATAAAAATGGCTGCCGCTTTTTTCCGGCACGGAGCTTTGCCGGAGAAAAGCGCCAGTCTAGACGCGGATCTTTCTGAAAATAAAGCCTTTTCTGAAAGATCCCTTATCCTTCTTAAAATAACCGCCAAGGTGACTGCCCTCCTGAACCTCTGGGGAAAGGAGGAGGCCCTCTGGGACACCAAGTCCCGGAGGAGAAATGCACACATTTTTGCCCAGATGGCCCAGGCGCTGGCCACAAAGGGACACCCGTCTCGGACCCTGGAACAGGTCCGGGCCAAAGTGAAGGACCTACGCCTCACCTACGTGTTGGCCAGCAAGCGTGAGGGTGGCGGAGCCATTGCCTGTCCCTAGTATCACCTCCTGCACCAGATCTTGGGGGACAAAGGGACCACTCCCTTGCTGTCCCAGGTGGACATGGCGGTGGCCACCCCAGTGGTCCGACCCAGGCCACCGGAGGAGAAGGAGGAGGAGGCGGGAGACTGGTCCTCGGACGAGGAGGAGGAGGTGGCAGAGGACAGCATCCAGACCTCACCATCCCGGCCCAGAATCAGTCAGGATGTGTCCCGGGCATCCTCCGAAGCCGGCGACAGATTGTCTGGTGAGTGCAGTGGCTACCATTTGCAAGTGTGCTGGAGAAGGGGGATAAGGGCCACAGGATGGGGGAGAGGTAGCGGCACATTGCACAGCCTGGCCACATGCTGCGTAGAGGCGTGCAGCTAGGGTTGCCAGGTGTCCAGTTTAGAACCGGACAGTCCAGTCTTTGAGCTTTCTGTTCAGGAAACAAATTGAGAGGATAAAAATGAGAAAATATACATGTCTGGGATTTTTTAACTAAGATGTGATGTAGACTGTCATGTAATGTCAAGCGTGTCCAGTATTTTTGTTGAAACCATCCGGCAACCCTACGTGCAGCCAGACCAAGTGGCACAGATAAGCGGCAGCTAGTCCCAGCACATGCCTGGGACCCCAGGGATTCTGCTCGACCAGACCGGGGGGGAGGGCCGGAGAGAGGTTTGGCCAGGAGTAGGCCAGCCTCAAGGTTGCAGGCCTAACCCCTCTCAGCCTAAAGGGTGCTGCACACAGCACACATCCATGGCCACCTCTGGGACACTGTAGCTTCCCCTGGGGAAGGCACAACAGCCTCCCCCCAAGCACATGCAGTCCCCCTGGGGGCTTCTGGGCCACCTTGGGACCCCGCCCCCCCTGCTACTCCAGGGGAATTCCCCCTCCCCAGCCACACCTGTCCCCGGCATTGTGACGTGCTGGGAGGAGGGCACGGGGCTCTGGAACACCATTTGGGGCAGGTCTCACTGACCATGTTGCTCTCCTCTGCTTTTCCTGCAGTGGGACCCCCAGTCAGCAAGGGACCTTCCAGCCCCATCCCGCCAGTGCAAAGGATCCAGGGCCTGTTGCAGCCCTTCTGGGACCACCACCACCTGCTCTGCTGCCACGTCTGCGTGATTGAGTGCATGGAGCGTGCTCTGACAGAGAAGATCCGTGCAGATGCGGAGTGGCGGGAGTGGGTGTGGGGCCAGTACCTGGAGCGCTGTGACCGTGTCTGCACTCTCCTGGGCACCATTGCCGACCGGCTGGGCCCCGTGCAGCAGCCTAATGCTGCTAGGTCCCCTTCTGCTACTCCCAGCTTTCCGCCCGCTTCTCTCCCTGCCTTGCCCATGCCCCCTCCCGAGGTCCCCCACGCTCGGCACCTCCTGGTGCAGCCTGTCACAACCTGGCACGAAGGGCAGAGGCGTCCCCGCACCTGTGGGGGTGGGAGAGGCCTCCATTGTCCATCATGAGGCCCTCCCAGTTCAGGGTCCCCTCCTCCCCCCTCCCCACAGTGCACTCCCTTCCCCATGTAAATAAAAAAGTGCCATATGTACAGCAAGTGCATTTTATTTATTGGGAGGTGAGGGAAGGGTGGCAGGAAGGGGTGGTGATGGGAGCGGGAAGTTGGGGCACAGGGGCATCCCTGTGGTCAGAGGTGTAGGAGTAGCCTATTGTGGGGCCTGGTCCAGCATCACCCGGAGGGCTTCCCGGACCCGAACCCCGTGGCGGTTGGTCTACTGGGTGGCGGCCATGTGGGGCTGCTGGTAGGCCTGGCTCTCACCTACCATCCACCCTGGGAGGAAGGCCTCCCCCCTCCCCTCAGTAATATTGTGGAGCACGCAACATGCCGAGATGACCTCTGGGATGTGGTGCACCCCCATGTCCAGGTGGGTCAGGAGGCACCTAAACCGTGCTTTCAGACGGCCAAAGGCGCAATCGATGGGATTGCAGTCCCGGTCCAGGTGGCTGTTGAATGTAGCCTGGCTGTGGTCCAGGTGGCCGGTGTATGGCCGCATCAGCCAGGCCATCAGGGGGTAGGCTGCATCCCCCAAGATGCACATTGGCATCCTGACATTCCCAATGGTGAATTCCCGCTGGGGGAAGTAGGTGTCCGCCTCCACCCTATGGCACAGGCCTGAGTGCCTGAAGATGCGAGCGTTGTGGGCCCGCCCTGGCCACCCCATATAAATGTCCTGGAACCGGCCCTGGAGGTCCACTAGCGCCTGGAGCACCACAGAGCAGAAGCCCCTCCAGTTTATGAACCGGGCCGCTTGTTGCTCTGGCACCTGGATGGGGTTGTGGGTTCCGTCTACGGCTCCCCCACAGGCTGGCAAAGCTGGTAATGGTGGTGTCCACGTCCTGGGGGCGGATCACCCTCTGGAGCAGCATGTCATTGATAGCGTTGACGACCTGCAGAGGGATGCATGGAATGTGACACAGTGAGTACATGGGCCCCTGGGGTGTGCTCACCCTCCCTTTGATGGCCCCTCCCCCCCACACAGGCCAGGGCCCTCTGCCCTCCAGAATATCTCCCTCCCTCACCAGCAGGGCTATGTGCAGGAAGGACAGCATGACCCCCTGTAGTGCGTACATGGGCCCCTGGGGTGTGCTCACCCTCCTTTTGATGCCCCTCCCCCCCACGCAGGCCAGGGCCCTCTGCCCCCCCAGGATCTCCCCCTCCCCCACCAGCGGGGCTGTGTGCAGGAGGGACAGCATGACCCGCTGTATGCGGGGCTTCCCCCTGCCCCTACAGCCTTCCCCCGCCCGGTCTGGCCCCTTCCCTCTCCCAGGATGAGCCCATGGTCCACGGAGGGCCTTACCTGCCGGACGACCATGCTGATGGTGGACCTGCCCACCCCGAACTGGTTCGCCACGGAGCGGTAGCTGTCCAGGGTGGCCAGTTTCCAGAGGGCAATCACAA